GACCCTCGCGGATCGATCGGGCTCGAGGAATGACACAGAAGGTGCCCAGGGCTCCAGGCGTGATTTTTGACCGCTGTTGCAACTGCTTCGCTACGTCGGATCTCAAAGTTTACATGGCTCGAGGCTCCTCGTCCTTGGGGCCCCACCCCTCAGGGCCCCATCTTTGAACCACCGATCCAAAATGGGGTCCGAGTAGATGGGGTCAGAGGATCGCGCCTTATCGCCGGTGAATCGGCGATACGACGAGATGCGGAGACGGATTTTCTCTACGCCGACGTCGCCGTTGCATCGGGGATGCTGCGCGATCCACCGACCCCATCTACTCTGACTGACCCCATCTGGGATGTTCAGAATGGCTGACCCCAGGTTGGCGCTGAACCCCGCTACGGCAAGTTCGTGTCGTGCCGACTTTGGCGTTGGTTTGACGACGTACAGCTCTGACGGCACATGTTCCCATCTCTTCCACGCGAGCTCTGCATAAGGCCGACTTGTTCGTTCGGGCGCCACGCAACGCAACGGGGATCTTTCAACCGTGAACGATCGGCCGCTTCCGAGAGGTCAGCTCACTCAACATCGACCGACTCCGGGGTAGCCGGCGGCGTTCCACGTTGAACGCTGGCGGCGGGGTCGCCGCCAATCGACACGACGTGAACCTAATGCGGGATGACGATTCATAAAAAAATGGGAGAGGACGATTAAAAAAATAGTTTTCTGCTATTTCTGCACAATTTCCTGACTGGAGGAGACAGATTAAAACAATAGTTTTCCAGCCCGCGGCCGGTTTTTCTAATCGTCATCCCGGGCGCCGCCGCGTGAACACGACCCCCGGTCATTTATTAATCGTCATTCTCCATTACCGTACGCAAGAACTTCCGGAGATCCACACAGAGCTCTTGCATCGGCGCGGGGCCCCCCTCCCTGGCGGCGCGCAGCGGGGGCACTGGCGCATCCAGCGGTTCGGCGCCACTCATAAACATCCGCTCGGACCTCCTTTGAGCAGGGACCGACCGTCCCAGCATTCCTACAGGCCTACCACGAAATATATTCTTAGAACCAAGATATGTCCTAGCAACCAAAACAGTGCCCTTGGACCAGCAGCCCGATGTGTCAAAACAAGACGGTCTTGGCCAGAACTGCTGCCCAAGAGCATGTCGTGCAAATCACAGAAAAGGTTCTTAGCACATCCCTCGGGTGGGCTTCCAAGCAAGCCAGGACGTCTCGCCGCTGCTTGACTCCTGAGGTCCCGAGACATCCGACGACGTGACTGCTTCCATGCGCGCGCCCACTCGAGGCCCCGACCCCTCTTCTCCTGGGCCCAGGCTTCCGCCCCAGATCCACTGTGGGTTGCTCCGGGGGCCACAACAGCGGACCCCAGGGGCCGAATAAACGAGGAACAAAACGCCAGGATTGGAGAAAACGTATCGTCGGAGATCTGGGCTTACTCGTATACGGGGGGGACAGAAGATATCGATACTGCTGCTCCCCAGACCTCTCCCAGAGTGCGCTCTGATTTCGAAGCGAATCCAGCCGCGGTGGCGATGGTGAGGGAAGGGATGTGGTATCGGTATCTGTTCCTCCTCTGATCTACTGCTCGGAACTTTGACGTCGTGACTTTTGCTGGCCCACTCCCCGGGTCAATGTGTCATCCTACTGCGTCGTTTTGCTGACGGTCCTGAAGTCCTGCGAAGTCTCCCGGCGGCTGGAAATGGCAACAAAAACTCCCGCCGAGGACAGGGTGGAGCAAAAGGAGGATTTACATTGCTTGAGGAACATTGTCCTCAGGCCCTCACCCCTGAGGGCCCCACCTTTGAACCGCTGATGGGAGGCCTCTGGGTCTGATGTGTGTATGTGTGCGTGTGCGTGTGTGCGTGCGTGCGTGTGCGTGTGCGTGTGCGTGCGTGCGTGCGCGTGTGCGTGTGCGTGTGCGTGTGCGTGTGCGTGTGCGTGTGCGTGTGCGTGTGCGTGTGCGTGTGCGTGTGCGTGTGCGTGCGTGTGCGTGCGTGCGTGTGCGTGTGCGTGTGCGTGTGCGTGTGCGTGCGTGTGCGTGTGCGTGTGCGTGTGCGTGTGCGTGTGCGTGTGCGTGTGCGTGTGCGTGTGCGTGTGTGCGTGTGCGTGTGCGTGTGCGTGTGCGTGTGCGTGTGCGTGTGCGTGTGCGTGTGCGTGTGCGTGTGCGTGTGCGTGTGCGTGTGCGTGTGCGTGTGCGTGTGCGTGTGCGTGTGCGTGTGCGTGTGCGTGTGCGTGTGCGTGTGCGTGTGCGTGTGCGTGTGCGTGTGCGTGTGCGTGTGCGTGTGCGTGTGCGTGTGCGTGTGCGTGTGCGTGTGCGTGTGCGTGTGCGTGTGCGTGCGTGTGCGTGTGCGTGTGCGTGTGCGTGTGCGTGTGCGTGTGCGTGTGCGTGTGCGTGTGCGTGTGCGTGTGCGTGTGCGTGTGCGTGTGCGTGTGCGTGTGCGTGTGCGTGTGCGTGTGCGTGTGCGTGTGCGTGTGCGCGTGTGTGCGTGCGTGTGCGTGTGCGTGTGCGTGTGCGTGTGCGTGTGCGTGTGCGTGTGCGTGTGCGTGTGCGTGTGCGTGTGCGTGTGCGTGTGCGTGTGCGTGTGCGTGTGCGTGTGCGTGTGCGTGTGCGTGTGCGTGTGCGTGTGCGTGTGCGTGTGCGTGTGCGTGTGCGTGTGCGTGTGCGTGTGCGTGTGCGTGTGCGTGTGCGTGTGCGTGTGCGTGTGCGTGTGCGTGTGCGTGTGGGTGTGTGCGTGTGCGTGTGGGTGTGTGCGTGGGTGTGTGTGTGTGTGTATGTATGTGTGTGTGTGTGTGTGTGTGTGTGTGTGTGCGCGCTCTTGCCGCCGCGTCGGGCAGGGCCCCCAGCAGGCGTGTCACATCCCTGCCATCCATGCCCAGATGTGCTGATCGCGGATGCGTTGAATCCTAAGCGATTCTTGAGGGCTCGGCCGCGACCGCGCGCTTAGTACTTCTACTTACTCCGCCGCGTCGATGCACGCAAGGTACTGATACTGCTATGTACTCCCCGGACCTCTCCCCTGGGTTCGGTCTGAGCAGCATGTCGAGGAGAATCCAGCGGTGGCGACGCAGGCCCCCCAGGAGACCCCCAAAAGGGAAACCGACGGAATGGCAGCGAAATCGATGCCCTTTCCTCCTGTGATCCTGAGATCCGACGTTTTGCAAAAACAGCTGCAACGGCAAACAATCACTACCGGAGCCTTGGACCTCATCTCTCCGCGCCAGTTCTCGAGCCCGATCTTACCAGCCTGGAACACATCCCTATCCCTATGCTGGGCATCTCCTCATCACCATGCCAGTCTTAGGGATTCCCTTCTTTTTTGGAGGGCGAATCCCTGAGATTGTCATCGCCTCTTGGCGTGTCAACCTTAGGGGTAGGGATAGGTTCGAGGCTGGCAACGCTCGATCTGCGGGGCCCCCTGGGGCCCGACGCGGAGCCGGAGCGACGCCGCCCGGCGTGAGGAAACTCGCAGCGCCTGGACCTGGAGGTCCCCTGACCTTCCAGAGAGCTATTTTTAGCACGGGAGGCCTAAAGACAAAAAAAACGAAACGAAACAGCCTAAAACCAAGACACAGAATAGCTCTGGGATAGGTTTTTCAGTCGCGTGCTATTTTTTAGCCCTCCTGGAAGGTCAGGGTCTGGACCCCTCCCCCCTGGGGCCGGCTGCTCGCCCCTGCGAGTCGTGCCTCGACGCTACCCCGGGGGCCCGGCGAGGGCCCCCGGGAGGCCGCAACTGGCCATCGCTCGGACGTCCATTTCCTGTGTTTTTGTTCGGTTTCGTGCGTGGTTTTTTCGCGATGCAGGCCTGGAGGTCTGGACCACTCCCCCCTGGGGCCGGCTGCTCGCCCCTGCGAGTCGTGCTTCGACGCTACCCCGGGGCCCGGCGAGGGCCCCCTGCAGGGGGCCCTCGCCGGTTCCCTGGCTGGTTTCCCACGAAAAATTGGGATTCCAACCGATGTTTTCAAGATCTGAGATCTGAGATTTTGAGATTTCAACCGGAGAAATGATTCAACTGGCGAGGGCCCCCTGGATCGGGGATGGACCTTAGTGGGCCCTGGAAACGACAGGGCCGTTTTTTTACCGGTTCCGTTCTGCCGTTTTCTTGCCGGTTCCGACGCCGTTTTTCTACCGGTTCCGTCGCCGTTTTTTGACCGGTTCCGGCTCCGGCTCCAATCCTGGAGCCGATTTTTGCCGTTTCCGGTCGCCTTTCTTTGCCGTTTTCATTTTCAAGGGACATTTTTGTGGAAACGGTGGAAAAAACGGCCCTGCCGTTTCCAGGGCCCACAAAGGGATAGACAGACCCCCCTTTTGTCAAACGTGGCTCAGTAAAGACGACCTGAGGCCCAAACCTGGCGGGCGCGAGCCTGGAAAAGAACGGCCACGGCGCCATCTCGAGAGCCGAAAACGGACAATTCACGAATCGACGTGGCACTGTTGGGGGCTCTGTCCACCCCCGACTGGAGGCCGCAAGAGATGCCAGCAAAACCACCCGCTCCAAACTCTTGACCTGGAGCGCCGGACCGCTGGGCCGTGCCTGCACGTGCCTTTTCGCGCCCCTCGGCCGAAGGGGCCCACAAACACTTTTTGGTCTGCGGGGCGAGAGCAAACCTCGTCCGGTCAAAGCTAGGCGGGCTACGCACAGCTCTCACTGGGGAGACAGGGTCCAGTGGCCCACAGACACACCAATAACAGGGTTCCCATATTTTCCATGTTTTTGTCTTCCCCCCCTCTACCCACATTCTCCCATATTTTCTTCCTGGGGCATCGACGATTCATCGTGTCTGCGTGCCTCCCTTCCCTCCCGATTCTCGCGCCCCTCGGCGCCGGCAGTCGGCCAGCGAGCAGCGCCTGCTCTTCGCGGCCCGCCTCGCGCTGCGCGGGGGGCCGGGCGAGGAGGAGGAGGAGGAGGAGGAGGAGGAGGAGGAGGAGGAGGAGGAGGAGGAGGAGGACGCCGCCCGCGCTCCGGCGGCGCCGCCCGGCGCGGCTCGCCGCCCGCCGGCGGCGCCAGGGCGCAGTGCAGGCTCTCGAAGGTGGTCAGGCGCGCCTCGGCACGGCCGGCAGCGGGCGGGGCGTGCCGTCAACGAGGGCTCCCAACTTCGCGCCCTCGCGCTCCGCGAAGCGCGAGGGCGCGAAGAACTTCGCGCCCTCGCGCCGCCCCCCCAAAGGGAGAAAAGGAGGACGAGGAGGAGGGGGAGAAGGAACGAGGCCCGCGAAGCGCGAAGCGCGAATAGCTTCGCGCCCTCGTGGGAGCCCTTGCGTCATGGCGGCATGCTTCGAGGAGGGGATCGACGCTGCAGTCGGCCCTGGATCGGACAGGACACGCGAGAGGACACGAGACCCTTCCGAGCGGCATGCTTCGAGGAGGGGATCGACGTTGCAGTCGGCCCTGGTTTGGACAGGACACGCGAGAGGACACGAGACCCTTCCGAGCCCCGAGGGCCGCGTCGCCACAGGAGTGTAAGGAGGCACGCGTCGCGAGGTACAGGGCGCAAGGGTGGGCACCCTTGAGCTGGCAGGGTCGACCTGCTCATCCGGGCCGCCTGTACAGAACTGAGCTGCCCCAGAACCGATCTTCTCGTTGAGCCCTTGAGCAAAACGTGGAACGCTCGTTCTACGGACATGCTACGAGCTTTTTTGTTTCATGGCTTCTGAAGGGGCCCCAGGACACACAAATAAATACACACAAATAAAAAGATTCCCCATATTTTCCCATATTTTCTGGGTTTTTGTCTTCCCCCCCACTTCCCATATTTTCCCATATTTTCTGGGGAATGGAGGATTAATTGTGTCTGTGTGTTTTTTCCCCTCCTGAGCTTCGGCGGGAGTGTCATGGGCCTCGGAGGGCCATGTTGGCGTTCTCGAAGCGCGCCTCGGCACGCCCGAAAGTCGGCGGGGGCCCGCAGTCAAGTCGCACAGTAAGGACGCACCGGCGATGTCGGCGTGGAGACGTCGGCGACGCATCGGCGACGTCGGCGTGTAGACGCATCGCCGATACATCGGCGATGTGGCGCGCGATCCTTCAAACCCATCTACATCCAAGTCACACAAGAAAGATGCGCGGCAAGAATGTGAGGGCCTCGGAGGGCCATGGTGGCGTATTTCGAGCAGGGTTAGCCAGCGAAGGTCGCCAAGGATAGGCCGAAAGGGCAAGAATGCAAGGGTAGCCTTGCAAACCTGCTCATCCTTACTGTGCGGCTTAACCGTTCAGGTAGGGCTGGGGTAGCGGTGGGGCCAAACAAAAAACCCGCCTAAAACGGCAGGAAGTGTGACCACTCCACTGGGCCATCCCCCTCTCTGTGACCCCCTTTTACGAACGACCACACCCTCTACACCCCCCCCCTCTACGAGCCCCCCCTCTACGACCCCCCCTCTACGAACCCCCCTACGACCCCCCCCTAAGACCTCCGCTCTACCAACCCCACCTTTACGAACCCCTGCCTGTACGAACCTCCTTTTGGGGTACCCTCTACGACTGAGAACCAAATGCGTGGGCTCTTCTGAGACGTACTGCCAACCTCTGAGAGGGCTCTTCTGAGAATCCACCTTGGAGCCCCCCTCTATTTGCAACGCCCGAAGAAGAGGCCCCGGGCCTCTGACGAGTTTGTTTTCCCCCAACAATCCTGTGGTGCTGGGTCCTCGTGTAGAAGAGACAGCGCCCCGCGTCTCCTCCTTCCTTCTCCCCCTCCTCCTCCCCCCTCCTCCCATCCCGTGCGTCTGCCCTCTGCATGTCCTCATTATCGTCATCGTCGTCGTCCTCCTCCTCCTCCTCCTCCTCCTCCCCGTCCTCCTCCTCATCATCATCCTCCTCCTCCTCCTCCTCATCATCATCATCATCGTCATCGCCGCCATCATTTCCCTCATCGTCACACCCAGTACAGCGCTTCGTGGCCCCATAGGGAGCTTCACCGAAGGTCCCACTGGCGCAGTTCGAATGCGTCTCCCCCGCCTAATACAACGTTTCATGGCCCCATGGATGGGGAGCTCCACCGAGGGTCCCAGTGGCGCAGTTCGCATGCTTCCCCCCCGCCCCGTACAGCGCTTCGCGGCCCCATGGATGGGGAGCCCCACCGAAGGTCCCACTGGCGCAGCTCGCATGCGTCTCCCCTATTCAGTACAGCGCTTCGTGGCCCCATGGGGAGCTCCACCGATGATCCCACTGGCGCAGTTCGCATGCGTCTCCCCTATTCAGTTCAGCGCTTCGTGGCCCCATAGGGAGCCCCACCGGTGGTCCCAGTGGCGCAGTTCGCATGCTTCTCCACCATTCAGTACAGCGCTTCGTGGCCCCATAGGGAGCTCCACCGAAGGTGCCGGTGGCGCAGTTCGCATGCCAGTATAACGTTTCGTGGCCATGTAGGGAACCCCACCGAAGGTCCCAGTGGCGCAGTTCGCATGCGTCTCCCCTACCCAATATAGCGTCTCGTGGCCCCCAGTGGCGCAGTTCACATGCGTCTCCCCCGCCCAATACAACGCTTCGTAGCCCCATGGGGAGCTCCACCGGAGGTCCCAGTGGCGCAGCTTGCACGCGTCTCCCACATCCAGTACAGCGCTTCGTGGCCCCATGGAGAGCTTCACCGAAAGTCCCAGGGCCAACACACCTATTTCGGCATTCCCTGACACGTTGCGTGGGCTCCACCGCTCCAATGGCGGCGTTCCGAAGGTGGGGTTAGTTCTATGCGTTCGTGTTTGAAGGCTCGCCGTGGACCCTCGGGATCGGGAAGACGTCGAGAACGCCGAAAGAGAAATCCAAGGTCAACCGGACGGGCTTGCCGCTCTCGCACGGCAGGGTTATCACCACGGTGGCGTGCCAGGGGCGCACCATGCGAGAAAGCGACTGGGCGAGGGAACGGCGCCCCCGGGCAGTCTACAGCCGAACCTACTGGACGCGAGCGGTCCGCAGCCAGACCATGTCTCGGTCCTGTGGACTCTCGCCCTGGGCCGTCGGCCGTCCGGCGCGCTGCTCCCTCGGCCGACGTCGCCCAAACGTGATCCTGGATTGCGGCCGCCACGAGGTCGGGAACGGCAAGAAGGAGGACGATAACTGGTGGCTGGAGCTCTACAGTGCGCGCGTGGTCGCAAGAAACCTTCACAAGAAACCCAGACCCGGAAACCCGCGCGCGAGATGCACCTGAGGGAAAAACCCGAGCATCCTGAACGAACCAAACACTTTGACGGCCGCGGGAAGTCACCGCGCAGCGTGCGGAACGATGAAACCCAAGTTGCCCTGACGAAAACCAGGTGTTTTCTTGATGCGCGCCCCCACTGTATGCGCTGCTCTCTCGCGCGCCACGCGCCGCGAGGACCTCCTGCTCATGCGGGCGCCGCGCATCGAATTCTTCCTTGGAGGGCCGCCGGAGGGCTTGCGGGAAGCAGTTGGGGTAGTTTGCGGTGCACACGAAGCGGTGCAAGAGGGAGGCGACGGCTCTCGCCAGGGGGCTCGGCTTCACCGAGTTTATCCGCGAGGCCTGACCTGACGAGCGTCCCGCCCCAGCCGCGCCATCTCTCGACTGTCCAACTATTTGCTTGGCCTCGCACCGACGACCCGCGCGCGTCGCTGGGACCCTCTCGGGGCGACCAACGCGCGTCGCGGGAACTCCGTGCTGCGTTCTGCCCAGCGCTTCGCTCGCCCGTCGTCGCTCTGCCCAGCGGCCACAACCGTGCCCTCTATCAGCCAGCCAGCAAGCTCTGTTTGCTCCGCGCAGCGGACGACCTGCGCGCGTCGCCATGGCGACATGGCGACCTGCGCGCGTCGCGGTGATTCCGCGCTGGGCGTCGCGAAGTGCGGGCGCTGCCGTCGGGGTTCCTGGGGAGGTTCCATGCGGCGGCCACGCTCCGTGCCACGAGTACTCAGAGTCAGGCATACCCGAACCATTCGCATTCATATGCGCTTACACTACGCGTACCCATGCTCGCATTCACGCAAATATACTCACTCGCGCGCAAAGTCATTCACACTCGGACTCACTCGCGCTCAGACTCACCCGTGCCCAATCTCTTGCAATTAGACCCTATCGTCTTCGTTCGTGGTTCGTGGATTCGTGGCCCCACAGGGAGCGCCACCGAAGAGGATATTCACAATTGCGGTACTCACAACTGCATATGGTTGGGCCCTTCGCCATGAGAATGTCCTCCTCCGAAGCGCCTCCTCAATGTGTCGGCCTCCTATGGGCCCGCCGCCCGGCGTCCTGGGGCCTCACAACAAAAAAGAGCTCTGGGGCGACAGACGGAGGCGGCCCCTCCACAAGCACGGACCTGGGACCTTCGCAAGAACGCTTAAATCGGGCGTGTCCCCCTACAGGGGGATCTTCGACGAAAAATAAACCATACTCAACAAATGCCCCAGAATTGCCAAAAATACTCCAAAGATCGTCCCCAGACCATTTTTGGATTGTTTCTTTTGATTATTTTTGGGGCATTTTTTGGGGGGTTCGTCGAACATCCCCCTGTAGGGGGGCAAGCCTGACTTAAAAAAAGAATGCACCTGGGGCCCGTTGCCCGGCCCACGGGGCCTCAAGCCTCGACGCCGGCCCCCGAGGCCTGTCGAATTCCCGCTCTGGGGCGACAGACGGCCCCCGGTTGGAGCGCACGTCGGCGGGTGCCGTGTCGGGCACAGGGGAAGGGGCCCAAGGACACACAAATAAATACACACAAATAAAAATATTCCAGATATTTTCCCATGTTTTCTGGGTTTCTGTCTTCCCCCCCACTTCCCATATTTTCCCATGTTTTCCTGGAAGTCGACGATGAATGGTGTCTGTGTTTTTTCCCTCTCCTGAACAGGGGAAGCTCGCCCGGCGCAGGGCCCCAGGCAGCGATGGGGCGTGCCGACATTTGGCGGCGTGCACGGGGGGGTGGGGGGAGGGGGAGGGCTTCTTAGAAGCAGGCTGCTTCCTAGAAGGCGCCGGCCTTGCATCTATAGATGAGGGCCGCGCCTTCTAAGGAGCAGGGGTGCTTCTAAGAGGCCCTCCCCCCTCCCCCCACCCCCCTCTGCGCGTGGCTGAGACATGGGCGCGTCCGGAGCGAAGGCGGAGGGGAAGGAGGGGGGGAGGCGCGAAGGGGCTCAGGAGCACACGCACACACCGACACGATAACGCCAGGAATTCCCCCCCCTGTGCTCTCGTCTCCCCCTCCAGTCTCCATGCTTCTCCCATTTTTGCTCGAGGAATCGACGATCAGTGATGCCTGTTTTTGTTCCCTCCGGAGAGGAGGTGGGGCGCGGAGCTGCGGACACAAGACGAGGACCGAGCTCACTCAGGGCCTGTGGGGGAAAGCGTGCACGATGCTCCACGGCAGGCGACTGCTGCTGGCCGCGCGCGCAGGGAGGCATGGGGAGGAGGGAGGGCTTCTTAGACTGTAGACGAGGCCCGCGCCTTCGAAGAAGCAAGGGTGCTTCTCGGAAGCCTTCCCCCCTACCCATACCCCCTACACCCCTTTTCGCGTGGCCGATCTTGAATCAGGTGTACAGCGTCCGCAGCGACACAGACTGCATCCTGAGATCAGACGTTGCGAAACACATACAGCATGGCGAAACATCACGACTGGAGCCCTGTAGAAACCCATCTTCCTGTCACATGTTTCGAACCGGATAGATCTGTGATGGTTTCGGGGCCCGAATGCGAGCAACAACTCCTGGTGTGAAAAACTGCGGCGCCGGGATCTCAGGGCGAGTCCTGCGCAAAATGGGCAGGGGCTGCCGGTAGTCTTTCTCGCTCCACTTGGGCTCTTCTTGTTCATCCTTCTTCTTCTTCTTATTATTATTATTAATATTATTATTATTATTCGCGATAACGCCCGTTCCCCCCTCCCTCCTCCTGGTCACGTCACGATTCGCGCCACTGCCGTCTGGACATTGGCCACTCCTGACATTCCCACACGGCGCTGGCGGCGGTCGTGACGTCACCAGCGCCCTCCCCTCCCAGGGGCGCCCAGGAGGGTGGCGTCCCAGAGAGGGGGGCGCAACTGATGGCCGGCGGCACGTGCGCGGCCCAGGGTGAAGGGAAACTGAGACACACAAATAAATACACACAAATAAAAGGATTCCCCATATTTTCCCATATTTTCTGGGTTTTTGTCTTCCCCCCACTTCCAATATTTTCTCATATTTTCTGGGGAATCGACGATTAATTGTGTCTGTGTGTTTTTTCCCCTCCGGGGGGGGGGGCCAGGGACGCACAGGAATAAGAAGAGGCGCCCTGAAGTCTGGGGAGATCTCGTGGTCCCCGCCATGATGTCCGACCCCCGCCAGTCAGCACTCTCCCCTCTGCGGCCGCCCCCGACCCTCCGCCTCCCGTCCCCCCGGCCACGCCCGTTGCCGCCGGGGGATTGAAAACATGATCCCAATGTGCGTGGCATAATGGGGGGGGTCTTAATCGGGGGGTCAGAAACGGTCCCTTTTCGTGCCCCTTTCGGGCCCCTCCGGAGCCCGGGGGCTCGTTCAGGTACATGTTGTCCCCATCGCACTGAAGGACCACATCCCACGCATAATTTCGAGCACCCAGCGAAGTATCGAGACAGTGTCGAACGAGTATCGCCTCGCAGGGCCCGACATGTGAAAACCCCCAGTTTCGGTACTTTCCTGGTGCTCGAAATTGTTTTTGGTGATCAAGACTAAAGCAGATTGGAACATCATGCTTTTTTGTACCGTTTGGGTTTTGTCGGACCACCCTCGCCACCCCCCCCATTTCTGAACCCCCCATTACGCAACGCCCAAGCCGTTCGGGGCTCTTCTGACCCGGGCCAGTCCAGACCCGGGTCAGCCAGGCCTTGCAGAACCCTGCAGGATCCTGCAAAAGATCCTGCACCCAAACCCGGGGCAGTGCGCCCCTCGCCCTGCAGGATCCTGCAAGATCTGGCGCTCTGGCTGACCCCCAGCGGTCTGGACCCTTCCCCCGGGTCCGGCCCCCCATCCTGAGTAGTTTTTTGACGGTCCCGAGGCCCGGGAAGGGCCCCCAGAGGCCGAAAACAGTGAAGAACCTCCCGTTGCGATTTGTTTCGCAGCGCGAGGGGGTCTGGGAAATAGGCCCATCCTGGTCTGCAAAATCTAGCGCTCTGGCCGACCCCCGTTTGCGTGGACCCCCGCCCGAGCCCTCCCAGCCCCCCTTGGCCGGCGGGGCGCCCCCCTCGCAGACCTTCAGTCGGGCGGGTCCCCCTACCAGGGGGACCGTCGACGGAAAATTAAAAATACACAAAAAATGCCCCCCAAATGGCCAAAAGATGCTCAAAAAATAATCCCCCGACATCTTTTTGACCATTTTGGAATGTCCCTCCTGTAGAGGGACAGGCCCCCGACGTAATGATTTTTTCATTACGTCGACCCCCAGAGGTCCCGACCGCTTCCCCAGGACCGGTTTGTCATCCTGAGTCGTTTTCTGACGCGCCCGAGGCCCGGTGAGGGCCCCCGGAGGCCGAAAATGGCGAAACACCTCCCGCCGTGATTTTTTGTCATTGCTCGAGGGGGTCTGGGGAGGGACAGGCCCGACTTCACGCAAGCCGCCGGAGGCCCCCTGGGACGCACATGGACATACTAATACTATATGTCCTCCTTGGAGGCGCGCGTCCGACCTGAACATATAGTATACCCATCTTGTAGTATATCGTTTCCCGAGCGGTGTGGCCAGAAAGCGCCCGCCACGACGCATATACTATAAGATTTCTCGGTGCGCGCGTCGCCCCTGGGGGGGCGACGCACATATAGTATAAGTATGTTGGGGTGTTGCCGAGAGCCGTGCCCGCTTCCGCCGTGCCCGGGCGCCAGGCTCTCGGTGACCAGCGCGGCGCCCTTCTTGGCGTCGTACGTGGCCGGCAGGGCGTCCCCGCGCAGCAGCGGCACGAGGCCGCGCAGCGCCTCCGCGCGGGGGAGAAGCACCGCGGCGGCGTGCAGCCATCGTGCTGCCAGGACCAGGAGGGGCCTATTTCCCAGACCCCCTCGAGTAATGAAAAAATCACGACGGGAACTTTTTCGCCATTTTCGGCCTCTGGGGGCCCTCACCGGGCCTCGGGGGCGTCAAAAAACGACTCAGGATGACAAACCGGTCCTGGGGAAGGGGTCGGGACCTCTGGGGGTCGACGTAATGAAAAAATCATGACGTCGGGGGTCTGGGGCGGCGGCGTGCATCCATCGTGCTGCCATGACCAGGAGGGGCCAATTTCCCAGACCCCCTCGAGTAATGAAAAAATCACGACGGGAGGCTGTTCCCTATTTTCGGCCTCCGGGGGCCCTCACTGGGCCTCGGGGGCGTCAAAAAACGACCCAGGATGAAAAACCGGTCCCGGGCAAAGGGTCCAGACCGCTGGGGGGGTCTGGGTTTCCACCACCATCACCACCATAAGTTGGAGGGGGAGAGGGTCCTCCTCCTCCTCCTCCCCCTCCCCCTCCTCCTCCCCCTCCTCCTCCTCCTCCTCCTCCTCCTCCTCCTCCTCCTCCTCCTCCTCCTCCTCCTCCTCCTCCTCCTCTTTTTTTTTTTTCTTTCCCCCCTTCAACTTCTGGTGGCGGTGGTGGCCAACAGGCCCACCATACCCATGCGGCGCGAGCCTCCGACCCCAGCTGCTCGGACCCCCTCTGGGAGGCCTCTGTCTGAAGGCTCCGAGAGCTGGGCGCTGCAGTTCTTCCACACTGGGCGTCTTCGCCCGCGGTCTTGGGCCCCGGGGCCATCACAGCTCGATCTGGCTCAAGAGATGCAAGTGAAAGGTAGGATCTAGCGCTCTAGTCGTGATCTTTCGCGATGTCGGATTTTTGTTCGCAACGTCGGATCTCAGGGAAGGACCGCTGCATCAAAAACGAAGGAACGCTTCTGGCCCACCGGGAGCCTCGACCACGAACAGGCTCCCCGCCCAGGATCTAAGGGACAGCCCGGAGCCCCCCCTGAGCCCAAAGCGGTGACTCCCTGAGCGTCTTGGCTGTGGACATCACCGTCCGAGAGGGCCGCGCGGGCTTCTTGGACCGGCGCCGGGCGGCACCGGAGGCGCCGCCAGGGGGAACAAGCGCAGGTCCGAGAACTCCGCGCGGACCTCCTGGTACGCACGACTCTGAAAGGGTTTCCTTCCTCGAGCCTCGCGCGTCTCCGCGGCGTCCGCGAAGCCGGCCCTGACGATGCTGCCCACGACGAAGCCGGGGATCTGGGCCACCAGCTGCCGGGCCAGGCGCAGCACGGGTGCGGCGCGCAGCTCCACCCGGCCCTCAGCCGCCCGCTCGATGAGGAGCTCCATCTGCTGCCTCAGGGACGCCGTGGTCCTCGCGTCCAGGCCGCCAGCGTCGTCCGCCTCGAGCAGCTCCTCCAGGTCCACGCTGTTGTCCTCTTGCGCCGCTGCGGCAGGGTCGCGTCCCGGGCGAGTCGGGGAGCAGTGGCCATGGAGTCGGCTGCCCGCCCGTGCGGGGGGGCCGAATGTCCATACCCAAACCCCCGACTTCATGTCAGGGATGGACAGACCCCCCTTCAGTAAAACGTGGTTTAGTGAAAACGACCTGAGGCCCAAACCTGGCGGGCGCAAGCCTGGAAAATAACGGCCACGGCGCCCTCTCGAGAACCGAAAACGGGCAATTCACTAATCGACGTGTCACTGTTGGGGGTTCTGTCCACCCCCGACTTCAGGACTTTCTCATGGCGTGAGCCCCCAGGAAGGTCTGGACCCCCATTCCGGGTGTGCTTTGTCACCTCGAGTCGCTACTTTACTCGGCGGTCCCGAGGCCCAGGCCCCCCGAAGCCCCCAAAACGCGGACACCCACCCGTCATGATTTTTTACCCTAACGCGAGGAGGTCTACTTGCCGTCGCTCGGACGTCCATTTACCGTGCATTTTTCGGTTTCGTGCGTGTTTTTTTCGCCAAATGATCAAGGATGCTCCTCGATTGTCCTCGCCGAACGAAAAATGCACACGTCCGAGCGATGCCAAGTCTACTCCTGGAGAACCGGGGGTACGACCCCGAAGCGGTGGATGTGGACACGCTCTGGCGGTGGAGTCCTGCGGGTCGTCCTCTGCCGCGAAGCGGAGCACGCTGATGGCGGTGGGCGCGGCGCCGTT